AAAATTAATCCCCAATGTGATGGAGTTTGCAAACAAGAACTTTTGGAAGTTCTACGTCCTCAGGGAGTATGATTACCACCTTATAAAAGAGCCCCAAGAGCTCCCTTGCCCCTTCCACTATGTGAAGTCACAGTGAGAAGGCTGTCAGTGAGCAAGATGGCCTCATCAGGCACTGAATCTGCTGCCAGATTTAGCCTGATCTAAGACTTGTGGTCTCCGGAACTATGAGAAAAGAGTGTTGTTCATAAGCCACTTGACTTAATGATTTTAAAAAGCAGCCCAAATAATCCACAGCCAATGCAGCATGAGTTCAACCCCCAGCTGGGCAGGAGACTCACATGGCACAGCAGACTTCTCCTATTCTACCTTCTGCTATCCTCAGCAGTATATATCTGTCAGTCTGCCTCTTTTGCTCCCTGCTCTGTCCCTTGTGAATCCTCTTACCACCCCACCCCCTGCACCCCTGGCTTGTACCCCAGTTCCTTTATGTATAAATAAGTAAGTCTTTAAAAAGTAAAAAAGCAGCCCAAATAGATGATGATATGGAGTACAAAAACTCAACCACATTACTGAAAAAGCAGTAAACAAAGTGCTAGTGAAACTATTTAACCAATAAGCGGTCAAGCTTTCACTTCAGTTCTCTAAGTAGAGTCCCATACAAAGAGACAAAAGAAAATTTACTAATTTCCTTTGCATTCAGAGAGCTATCCCAAATTACTATTTTAATTCACAACATACATTCCTATAAAAAATTCTAAAGTTTCTAACATCAGAACTTAAATTTACTTCTTAAATTTACACCCTTATAGACAGAAGGTTTCCCTAAAAGAGAAAACTTAAGAGTCTGGATTCCCAGATCTAAACAACATGAATCACTCAGACGTGGCTGTTCAATCATTCAAACACTTATTGCATGTTCCTTGTATACTAGGTACAGTACTGCAGCTCTATCTGATGAGGTCAGAGTTAAAGTTATTGTGTTCTTATTTCCAAGAACTAAGGATCCTCAGGAAAGACAAAAGTTACACGTTATATACACACACACACACACATATACACACACACACTGGACATAGCAAAACTCATGTCAGAAAATAGCAAGGTCTACAAATAGGGGTATGTGAGGGGAGACAGTAGTCAGGAAAACTCGTATGACTAGGCTTGGCATGAGGATGAAGGTGGTGGTAACTACAGAAATATACTTAAGGAATACAGTGGGACTAGATCAGGAAGGACCTTCTAAGCCACACCTTGCTAAAGAGTTTGTGTTTCTCTTGGCAGGTTTGCACATAAATGGGAAGGCATGAAAATGTGTGTGTGCATGTACAATATTCGCCACATGTTTATAACCAAACTGTGATGACAGAGTAAAGAACAGGAGGGAAAAAATCCAACTCACCATGTTTTCCTCTAGAAATATCCACATATTGACACAATCTGGGGTGGGTAATGGTCTTGAGGATTTGAAAGCGCCCCAAAATTTTGATGGAATTTGGTGTGAGAGGAAGCCCATTGCTTCCACACACATCATGTGGCAGAGCTGAGGCAAAGAAGGTAAACGCACCCATTTCACCATCTTTCAAAGGAAACATATTCAGGGTCCTTAATCTTCCAAGATAACCTAGAAAACGAGAGACTCTTATGAAAGATCAACCAAGCATTACCTTAGCATTTTCTCACCTTAAATAATACATTACTTGCAGGGAAAAGCCAACTGGGCACTTTACACTTAAAAAAAAAATCAAAGTTAAAAAAATTCCAATATAATATTGATGATGGAAACTCAATCATATTTTATATTACTGATCTAAAATAAATAAAAAGCAAAGATGGCATAAAAAGGAAAAGGTAATGCATTTCATCTTCATTAACACCTGTTTTAAAGAGTAATTCAAGTTTATTATTGCATATTCTAATCAATAAGAGTATTCTCTTCATCATCTAAAGCTTAAATAATCCACATAACACTAAGAACTTCCCTTCTCACAGAGTGAGGGGTGGAGAATGACCCAATCCTGAACAGTTATTACCTTGAAAGCAAAGTAGACAAGATTCTTTGAAAAAATTAAGCCAACTCTGAAGATAACACTGCTTGTGTGGGCACTGGTGAAAAGTGCAATTCTTCCTAATTTTAGAATTTGTAGGACACCAATTAAGATCTGGCTGCCCACCCAGCCATTCTAAAACTAAGTATGCCAGCCAATGAGCTTATTCATTTATGCCAAGCCTCTGGACAGCATCGTTAATTCTTAAACCATGGACTATCTAACATCCATAACACAGGCAAGGAAAGAATACAACATAAAGGGTGAGGAATAAGGGAAGAAACAAAATATCTGCCCTGGAACTAAAGGATATAATTTATGAGATCAAAGCCAAAACCATCTATAATAAATTTAGAAAGATTTGAGAAGATATTCTATCTATTGCATGAAATAGAAGCCCAGGAAAAATATATTTCACATAAGAATAAAGAGAAATGACTAATATATGTACGTATTTTAAAATTTCATTAAAACCAATGAGAATTTATGCACCTAAGATAGCAAAAACGAGGAAATTAGACAAATCATATTGTTAAGAGGATATGGAAAAACAAAATTTCATCTTCACGTAAGTGGAAACATAAATTAAATTCACACTCTCACTTTGGAAAGAGCCTGCTACTGTTTTCTCTTCCATTCCTGCAGAAGCTAACACACACAGGCAGGGGCTACATCAGAGTGATACTGATGCTGATATTCCTAAACTGGAAACAACTAAAATATCCAGACTACAGACCAAACCCACCATGAGATACCATCTCAGACTGCAAGACTGGCTTATATGGAAAAGACCAGAAGCAATAAGTGTTGGTGAGGATGTAAAGAAAAGGGATCTTTGTACACTGCTGCTGGGAACGTACACAGGTGCAGCCCTTATGAAGAACAGCGGACGGGTCCAAAAAAATATGGATCTATTACGTGATCTAGTGATACCACAAAAATATGGATCTATCACGTGATCTAGCGATACCACTAAGTATCTATGTGAAGACTGCGAAAACACTCACTTCTTTTTACTGCAGCACTAGTTATAATGGCCAATTCAGGTCAATGGCCTCAGTGCCAAACTAGTGAAGTTGTGGTATAGAGTATGGAATATTACTCAGTGTGAAAGAAAGATGAATTTTTGCCATTTTGACAACATAGATGAAACTGAGGGTGGGGAGAGATTATGCTAAGTAAAATAAGCCAGAAGGATAAAGACAAATACCAGAGGGATTCATGTACATGTGGAATACAGAGAAACAAGACTGTGGGTTAGAAAACACAAACCAAAACAAAGCCTAGAAATCCGTAAAACAGGCTAGCAGAGTGGGCAGGTGAGGGTTGGGGAGCAAAGGTAGGAGGGGTCCAACGTTGCTGACACCCCCTATCAGGACTGTGGTGGTGGGCCTGGTGTGGTAACACACACCTCTGACTCATACAGTGACTGTTAACCATTACAACCAGAGACATATGTATTTATAAGTTGATGTGAAAAGCATTATCATTTGGAATTAAAAACTAAGCATCAAGGAAACTAATTGTGATCACTTCCAAAATTGGGAGAAAATATGTTGTGGGTGATGCGGGCTATCTTAAAGCATTAAAAAAAATAAATAAAAGAGTGAGGAATTTAACTCATTACTAAACATATAGATCTAAGACTAGAAAAGGTTAAACGTGTTCGCTTCTTGAGAACAGGCCTGATGTTAGAAAGGGGGCTTCCGTGTTCTTCTTTTCCAGCATGGAGTCGCTCTACAGGGCAGCATCCTACGGGGGTGTTCACGCAGCCATTGCTATTACCTAGGCCGCTAAAATTCAAGAACCAGATAACGAAAATGCTAATTATTCAAAAAGATAAACCACTCGGTTGTTGGGCTGCCACTTTGCCTTTCATGGCGACACAAAAGGGCTCACACATGAAAAACGCGCTCGCCAGCTACACTCGCTGAGTGGGAACAAGGTAGCAATAAAAACCTGAGGCGAGACACTGGTGGAGGAGACATCGGTGGAGGAAAAACAATGCAAGTGGTTGGGTTTCGAGATCCCTTCACTCAGCAGATGCCTTGAAGCTCGCACGTGAAGGCAGGTGTCTTCCACTCGTGGGCTAGCAAGGGCGTGAGAGACACATTTTGTCTTCTATGGGCTTGGAATCAAAGACTCACAGGGGTTGGGGGTGGTGGTGAGGGGAGGGTCGGCCCTAGGACAAAAGACACCATCTCGAAAGCGCAGTCCCCGCATTTCAACAGGGAATTCAGAGCAGCCCATTTCTGTCAGACGCCTTCCCTCAAAAACTGCCTTTCTGTCACAGCTAACGAGGACGAGGCCTTGGAGGCCGGCCACCGACAAGGCAGAAGCAACCTCCTTTCTCCTCGGGACGTTCCCACTGCGCAAGGGAAGGTGCCATTTCCACAACTCCCCAATCTTTGAAACGGGGGGCACACACTGAGTTTGTCCTGAGGCGAGTTTCTCCTGCTCTCATCTTCTTGAACCTTTCAGCAGTGGCACGTGGTGACTGTCGAAGCTTCACCTACACTTTCCAACGGAGCCGGGTGACGTGTGACTTTGGGGGGAGGCAGGCGCAGCTCCCCAAGGACCTACAGAGTTGCAGCCACAGCCGCACGGTGTGGGCTCTGGCCCTCCCGGCGGAGACGCGGGAGCCGTCGCTGCCCCTGCCATTCCGACCCCCCGCCAACCCCCCACGAGCCACGGAAAACTGGGACACCCAGATACCTGCCTGTGAGGCGGGGGGTGCAGGCGGCACAAAGACGGGGGATAGCGCTTCTCCCCCGGCCTCAGCGCTGTCGCTGCGCCTGCGACTGCCGCGACAGCTTAGTGCAGCAGGCCACGCATTTCAGGGACGTGAGGCACAGGACGGCTCCTGGGGCGCCGGGAGCGCCGAGCTTGCCCTTGGCGGGCGAACTTAGTCAGCCAGAACCCAAACTCCTACTACGGCCGGGAGCAAGTGCCCGGCCCACGTCACTGACAGGTCCCAGCGCTTCCCCTCACGCTCAGTTCAGTCAGGTCCTCTGACGTCAGAGAGTCCGCGACGCAGCAGCGAACAAAGACCCCGACGAGGGGCGTCTATCGCGCTGCCCAAACAGACGACCAACGTAGCGAAGAAAAAGTGCGGGGTCGTTTACATTATGGATTAAGGGCTTGGGAAACGGGGAGCAAGATGCGCTGCGAACAGGAAAGGGGCTAGCGGAATTTGGGGGTTTCTCCGTGGCGCGCTCAGGCATTTGGTGGGGCAGGCGTTTGGGTCCTGTCTCAGCGTCGTCGCGCGTGCGAGGCCCACGCTACGGGCTGCGGGCTGAGGCAGGAGCCGGCGGGGCCCTGACCTGCGCTTCATGTGAGTGAAGCTCGCCGAGGGTCCTGGGGCAGGCGAGGGCGACGGTCGCAGCCTCCTTCTTTTTACTCCAGTCGGGGAGCTTGGGCCTGGCCTGCGGGCGCTTGTGGGAAGTTTGCTGACGCCAGCAGCAGTGTTGGGCTGAAGGAGAGTGGGGGAGAGCGTGCTGGGGACTTTCTGAGGAGACCAAGGTGGAGAAATGGGGTACGGGGCGGGGGGAAAGAATGTCACTGGAAAATGAAAAAGTTCACAAGCGTGTGTGTGTGTGAGCGAGTGAAAGTTCACAAACGTGTGTGTGTGTGTGTGTGAGAGAGAGAGTGAGAGAGAGAGAGAGAGAAAGAGAGAGAGAAAGAACACGAAATGGAGGCTGGGATATGGGTGACGGAAATTAATTCATTCACTAATTATCACGAAGCGTCACTCGACACGATTTTAGGCGTTGTATAACGAGCAGAGAACAGAACAGACAGCCCTGTGTCACTCCAGCTCACACTTTAGACCGACGAAGTCCTGAGGATAGAAACAGTGAAGCAGGAAAGGAGGTAGAGGTGTGACCAGGGACGTTCTCGCTGAAGAAATGACTTGATAGCTAAGGACACACAGGTGAGAGACTCCAGCAAGTCCACATCTCTGGGAGCTGCAGTGACACCGGTGCACGCCGGTGACCCGGCCATCACCAAAGCTGCGTCGCAGAACCCGCCAGAACAACGAGGAAATGTGCACCAGAGTCGAGTGCAAAGGTTAAAAGTGCAGCCAAAAATCAGAGCAGGAAGAGGTCATGAGGCACTTGGAGCATTTAAGCCTGTGGAGGTTTTGAGCAGCGGGGCGGTAAAAACCAGACTTTTTAGGAAGGCTCTCTTGGACTGCAGTTAGAATAGTCTGGAGGAGAGAGCTAGGAGAAGCACAAGTTAGGAGGCTTTTGCAGTCACCCTGAGGCGGCATGATGGTGGCGTCACAGGGGGTGTTGGGAAGTGCCCAGTCAGATTCTTAATGCCCTTAATTTAGATATGTAAGAATGTTGGAGGATGGCGTTTTTTCATTGTCTAATTAGGCTTAGGACACGATGTCTTTTTGGAATTCGGGGTTCTTGGGTTCACTTTGGGAAAGGTTTCACCAGAGCTGCCCTCACAGTGACATGCCGCGAGTTTCTCCAGAAGACAGAGACTCAGTTATATTTAGAGAGCAAGTTTATTAGGGAAAAGGACAGGGGAGTACAGGACACTTGCACAGGCACAGGGTGGCAGGAAGAGCTGCCCGGAAAGGGTGCATAAGCAGGGGCAGGTCTGCTGAGATAGGCCTGCATGGGTGCAGGCGGCAGCCTTAGGAGAGCGACCTCTGCTGAGGGAGGTCCGTGCAGAGAATCTTCGGCATAGTGCAGGTCATGGGCTGGCAGGAGGCCACTGCCCTACAGAGGGAGAGAATGGGTGGGAAGAAGCATGGGCACAGGTGGGAGAGGACTGCTGCCCTGAGCCAGTGCAGAGACAGTTCTGATAGAGTCCCTGTGGAGTGGCCTGTTTGCTGCTGATTTGGGATAACTATGGAATCCCTCAGTGGGCCCAGTCTCTGCATCTTTACCCTCAGGTCAGTGCTTCCCATGTTCCCTACTGCGTCTGATAATGGGAGTCTCTATCACTGGGTCAGTGGTCACCTTAGTTCCCTCCGCCCCCATCTCCCTGCATGAGTCAGGTTCCAACCTTGGGATGCTCCCTCAGGTTTTCTACTCTTTTCTTCATCAAGACAAACACTGTAAAAATGAGTTGTAGCATGAGTTTTGGAGTGACAAGCATAGATAAAAATCATGAACTTTCCATTTGATATTTGAATGGAATACTTTATTGTCAAATGATGATTTCTGAGTTTAAAGTGGAAATGTTATCTCACAAGATTGTGAAGCTGAAATGAAAAATGACAAGATAACTGTATGACTTGAGATCTCTTGGAGTTCTAAGTCCATGTCCTTTTTATTGCTTTCATTACTCTTATAATAAGTTCTCAATATGTCTGTATAAGGAGGAGTGATAGTAGCTTATACCTTTGGCATTGTTATGACTAGAGTGCATATTGTATTGTCAAATGTTAAGGAAATGATTGGGTGAAGATTAAAGATAGAAATAAACATTAGGATTTATTACCTGTTAATATCTATCAAGGAGGCTGTTGCTAACGGTATCTTCATTATCCCTAACAATATCTAATTAAAGATAGCTTCTAGCATCTATAATATTTTACATATGCCTCAGTATTTTAAGACTTCATAGCTCAAGTATTGTTTCCACTAATATTTTTCTTTGCTGCTGCTGACCTGTTCCGCATGTTCTCAATTAACTCTGCATTTCTTATGTTTTGTTTACCAAATTATTTAGTTACAAGTAAATTGTTTTTGGTGAATGTTTCAGATGATATACATTTTCTTAATCCTGGTTTATTTACCATTAGCAATTTAAAACTAGACCTTATTCTAGGCAAATATTTGTAAAAACAAATTATGCATATTGAAAAATATACATTAAATAAACAAAATATATAGGTATATATAGCATATTATTGTACTGTGGTATATCTGTGTCATTAAAGTGTTAAAATTATCTAAAGTTTAGAGGATATATGAAGATAAATAATACAGGTTTAACTTAATTTCATCATGTCCTTTCATAAGAAAGTGAGATATGTTTTTAGTGGCAATTTATTAAAAAAAAATTCATATAATTTTCTTACTAAATTTGGTACCTGGGTTATCAATCCCCAGCCAAACTGGAATTGTTACAGTCATAATTGGTTGTAATCCTTTTTGTGTTTTCAGTCAGTGGTAGTGGCATTTGTGTTTCACCAAAACTGGGGTGACAGGTCTTTTGAGTTATATTTCTTGATCTTAACACCTTTACATAATGATGATTTTGAGTATTCTGAGTTTTTCCCCCCTTTTTTATTAGTATCTTTGAAGGTTTTACCTCTTCCCTTCATCACGCTGTTTCTTTTTGTGCTTGTGTGTATGTACTTAATAGTTGAGTCTCTGTTTCTGTGTTTTGAAACAGGGTACTCTTCTTAAACTTTCCTGTCCTTTAGTATGTTACCAGATTCATATTTGATTCCCTTTTGTAACTATTTTACAGGTAGCTAACTGAATTGAAACTGTTTTTGTCTATAAGTCAGGGACTGAATTGTACTTTCTTTTTTTCCCGATTTCTGGACCTGTTAGTGAATTCATAAGAGTTCTCCACTTAAATTGATTTGTTTCATATGAGTTTAAAGTAGTAGTGAGACTAATTTCACATTCACCTTAAATTTTCTTTGCCACAGAAGTAGACATACAAATCACATCAAGTCAAATGCTCATTATTTTGTTTGTGATAATTTTATTTCACCTGTTCAATATGTTGATTTTGTTAGACTAAAGAAGATGCTGACAAGTGCTACTCAGAGGTTACTGAAATTTCAGAAGTATCCAATGTTTATTGCTTATATCCATTTGTATTTTTCCTATATAATTCTGGCTTTGCACTTTGGAGGAACAGCAACAACAAGCTATTCTGTGCTCACTTTGGTAGACATTGGCAAGATTGATACAGTGATGTCTTCATTTTCAATATTTCGCTTTTTTTTTTTCGCTCTGTATTTTGTCCATGCAGAAGACAAGCACTTTACTCTTGTTTCCCCAGATTAACCTTCTATCTATATTTTCTTACTTTACTAGCAACCTAATTTTCATAGGGTTTTAAAAATTGCGCTTATATCATAAATTGGTAATTATTTTATTAATTTTTATATATTTTAAAGATTTATTTATTTGTGCATACAGAACTGGGGTACAGGCTAGAGGCTCAGGGGTGGCAAGAGACAGAATGGGGAGCAGAACAGGCAGATCTACGAAGTACATTGCTGAGGGGAGCAGCAGGGAGACAGGAGGTCTGCCATGCCATGTGGTCACCTCCGGGGCAGGCGGGAATCAAATCATGTGGACTTGGCTTTAGCTTCTTAGTGCTGTGCTTTAACCCGCTGCGCCACCAGGGAGGGCCATAAATTGGTAATTTTAATAAAGGTTTTAGAGGTTAGTTTTCTTTCATGCAAAGGGTCAGCATTTTAGAATGTTCTTTATATAGGATGGATATTGCTTAATTAAAATTTTAAAACATTTCCCCTTAACCAGTTTTTTTCAATTTTTTTAATCAAAAAGTCACCATTTATAGCATGTGCATTAATTTATTTAAAACCAAATTGTGGCCCTCCCTGGTGGCGCAGCGGGTTAAAGCACTGCACTGAGAA